GATAGAGAAATATATTTCCAACACAGTCTGGAGATACTGGAAGTATTCTACTATAATTTTCTGTTATGATAGAAGTGGCAATGATACATTCCTTAGGGAAAATCGTTGCTTTCTGGTTAGAGTCTAAAACAGAAGTCTTGAAAAATAGAATTGGTATGAGTTTTTGATGAGCTTGCTATTTTACATTATTTACTTTCACAGTAAGTAAGAAGAGCATCGAAGGAGACAGTCAGAGGCATTCTATCCCTTTTCCAGATGTGTCTGTGAGCTTTTTCAATTAAATCAAGAGATTTCACTAATACTTGCTTATAGTCATGTGTAGATTTGAAAATGCTGCGTGGTGAAATTAATGGAGTAGGTAATTTCTTCTTGTGGTGTGTCTGCAAAAATAGGTTGCCTTAGTCTTCTATTTGATATTGTTAAAGTTTTATTTAGCTTTTTTTCTGTCATATTTTTGTTCAATAAAAAGATCAAACTTATATTTATCTAACTTGCATATTTATCAAATTATTAAATTAACTTCAATTTCATTTAATAAATTTATTTTGAAAGTTCTGTGAACTCAGTATGGTAACACAGACATTTATTACACAGTTATGGCTGAAGGTAGCATTCATGGTGAACAATGATAGAGTTCAGGGCATGGTATGCAGGCATGTTTGTGGTCACACACTGAGGTGTTTTGCTGTTTATTTGCCCTGTCTTGTTCTTATTTTAATAAGTTCTAAGAAAAGTGTATTGCACCGGAATATCTTGGACAGACTGAACTAATTGAAAGACGGTGGAATACAAAATCAGATTATAGTAATTATAGTATTATAGTAATTATAGTAACATATGCTGTCTTCCTTGTAATGAGGTGAAATTGTTTTTTCTTATTTAGCTCTAAATTTTCCTTTTTCTATTCAGAGGTAGAGGCAGTTATGTAAGGTGTGAATGGATTGTATGGAACAAAATGACTCGCCAACAAAGATTGTAATGTACATAGCCACGTTGTTAGAGGGAAATACTCAATGACTCAGCTATAGAAGAGGCTGCTCATTGGGAACCACTGCACATTTGAGTTTAGATGAGTATACACCCTGAACCTGGGCCAATGTGCTTTTTGGCATCTCTTGCTGCATGAATTACTGGTCAGGCTTTGAACAGTGCCTGGGTGTCCCACCTCTCATGGAAGGACGTAAAAAGAGCTCTCTAGGTTTCAGTTTTGCCTTGCAGTTAACTCTAATGTGTTGTCCATTCTTGGCAGCTTCTATAAAGGGGTTGAAGCATAAAATTCCAGTGCTTTCCACTCCCATTGGCATACCGAAATCTGAGGCCTTGCTTTTAAAATGTCTTCTGACAGTGCCTTAATCCTTTCATTGGTGACCTCTCCATAAAAGAATGATCTGCCTGTCGCAATTCTGCAGCTGCTCACAGAACATGAGAATACCTGTGTGGATGACCACAGTTTACATCTCATTTTGAGAAAATCGAAGAAAGAATTCCTCTAATCTTATTTTCACATACTTTGTAAATGTGGAAAAGTTGTACCTGAGTTGAACATTTTTCTAGCCTGCATAGTCACCAGGACAAATTACGTTATGAAAATTGTTCCTGGATGGTAATGGTCTCTGGCAATGTTGGTCCCATAGAGCTGTCCTTGGTAGCTGGGTGCTCCTGATATCCCAAGGTAGAGCTGGTTTTCTTCTGCTACACTACTGGGCTGTAGGGACAAACAATAGTAATCTTTACTTAGTTGCATTTTATACTTGTTACTAATATCAATATGAATACTCTCTGGAACATATTTTATTTAAAAATGGCTGGTTTTGACGTCCCGTAGTTGTTAATTTTTAAATCTTACAAATTGTGAAGGAAGTTTGATGTAGGTAATTTTATTGCAGTTACAAGGAATATACTTCTGTATATACTTTGCAAACTTAACATGCTAGATGAAATTCCAAATCCTAGAATGAGATATCCTACTGCATATCGCAGCCCCATGGATTTAACCACGTGATTCCTTTCTTGTTCCATAAACTTCTGACCATCTTCTAGAAAGTCAAGAAAGCTTTCTTTATCCTAACTGTGTATGCTAATTTATTCATACTGTGTGTCTACATCCATACTCTTAAAATAGTTTTCATCTCTAAAAACATTTTTTATTTCTTTATATGCCTATCCTTAGTACCATATTTTATTCCTTTAGAATACTGGAAATTTGATGCTATGGTGGTCTTGTTGGATGAGAGTAGATTAGCAAAGAGAGCTTTACGGGCAATAATAGCATGGAGCTGTAGTTCCTGTATTTGATCTTTATTTTATAGATTATGTTATTTTTCCTTTCCAATCATATTGCGTGGTAATATTAAGGTGTGTTTTTCTGAACAGCACATACCTTTTGCAATCTAGTTATTTTCCTATTTGTTTTCATGCTTGTGAGGTGAGTGTTTATGTATAGCCAGCTTAGTTCCTTTACATGGCAGTGTTCTGTCTTTCATGAAAATACAACCTTTTTGAAGGTAATATTTGGCTGAGGGCTTTGAGGTGCTTGAAAGCAGAACTGCATCTGCTGGTGAAGAGTATTTTCTGTTTGAACAGCTCCACATAAATCCTTCTCCACTGTTACAGCAAAACATACTTTTATTGTGTAATCAGTTTGTGTTCATCTTTCTGAAATTGATGCCTATATGATCTCTGTTGAATTTGTGTACATGTGTAATGTAGTGGCACCTGCTTCTCCTAATAAAAACAATGTTGCATGAAATTTGGTATAACAGGGTATATATCTCTTTATGAAGTATTGGAGAAAAAGATCAAAGTGTGTGTTTTGTTTGTTTTTTTTTTTTTAGTATCTATATATAATATAAGATATTTGAAATACTTTCCCCCTGTAATTGATGCTGTCTCAGGTTTTCAACAGGTTTTTCCTAAATTTATTATCAGTCTTACATTTCAAATTAAGTGGTAAAGATACCTGTAAACATCACATTTTTGTGATCACTGAATAGATAGATGGGATAAGAGGTAATGTGAAGCAACCTGAAATAATTAGAGATACATTAAAATTCTGCTTGGATAATTATGAAAGTCTCCTTTTTGTTTCAATTTTTTTAAAAGCTTTTTTTTTTTTTTTTTTTTTGGCATGCTAAGTGAATTGATTATCAGATTCTTGTTAATTTTCTGGATGAAATTTACAGGTTAAATGTCTGTGAAAAATGAGAGAGGAGAAGAGCTGAAAAGGTCAATTCTGTCAGAAGTTCCTTAGAGGGACCTAATAAAGCTCTTAATCCTAAAATGCTTTTAGCAAAGTCTTTAGCATCATGCCTTGCATACCTAAACAATCCTCTGCTTGTTTTCCTGTAAGATTAAGATTGGTGTGTGACATGATGAAGTATACAGTATGACTTAGTGACTTCTTCAGATAGTTTCAGGCCATAAAAAATTTAAGGCAGGAGATAAAAATACGGTCTTCTCTAGTTACAAAGTAGTTTGACACTTAAACAGGCATTCAAAAAAAATTAAAGGATGCTATTAACATTTGTGGGAGATACCTGGTTTTATTTTTTTGATAATTCAGGTATGAGGGTGCTTCAGGGCAGAATTTATATTCAGTGCAGACCTTTCATTGGAAAAAAGTGTAGTTTCTTTTAAAAGTGGTTATTAGCTCCCTTTTTGTCTCAGCTGCTGATTGTTCGGACTGTATTGACATTAAATAGTATCTAATTAGCTGTTGTTTATTTCATTAGGTATATATCTTCCTTCCCTGTTGCACTGAAATTAATTCAGAAAATCACAGGTTTATTTCAGTAAAAGTGTCAATTATTAAATTGTTGCTAAAGTCAAACAAGTTAATTCTATCAAGGTTTCTGCCTTTCATCATGTTTGCCTTTTACGTGTTTTGCTTTGCATCAAAAAAAGTGGCCTGAAGAAAGCTCCAAACTTTCCAATGTGCTTTCAAACAGTCATATATATTTCTTTCTTCACTATTAACTCATATTTAGCTAATACATTAGAGAACTGAGTTCCTGTTGGTCACACAGTTTCCTTGTTTACAGTTATGTCAAACTTCCATCAGCAATTACTGTTGTATTATGACAGTCATATCATTGTTAAACTTAACCTTGTGCTTGGTTGGTGGTCAAAACCTAGCTAGCAGTCCAGAATATGTTATGTTTTGTTTAACAAAAATAGCATAGCTTTGTTTTCCTTTCTTACTTGACAAACAAAGTTACTACACCTTACCTGAACATTGAAGTATATTTTATATATGTGCACACAAATTCAATACATTTATGTCACACAAATTCACAGGATTTAGTCTTTGCTGTTTGTAATTTTATGGCAAAGTGGATGTTACCACAGTGAAGTGCTAAAAATACATCATCAAGACTAGGGAGGATAATCTCCATCTCTTTTTTCTGCTTTATTATTTTCCTGAAGTTTATTTGTCTTGTGTTTTCATGTTTATACATTGGTATCACACATTGAAACCAAAGTGATTTCTGCTAATGCAATTCTGTCAGTGAATTATTTTTTGCATCACCATTGTTAATTCAGAACCTTCCTTTTCTTAACTCTTAATATTACCAGGAAAGATAAAAGGGCTTGCTATTAAGCTTTAACATCTCAAGTCTGATGTGGGCAACCTGTGTGACCTCTGCTGGGGCACATCATGTCTTTGTAGACCAAGGTGTTAACAGTTTCTTCCTCTTATCATTTTTTGTTTGCAATCATTAATAATGGTTATACGGTGGCCCCTGTCATGAATGACATCCAAGAGAAATCTCTGTAACGTGCTCGTAATCATAATAATAAATAATATTTAACTGAGTCAGATGGAGGCTATTGACTTTCTCTCCTCACTGTTCAAAATCCTGACACTAAGAAACGTTTTTTCTAGAAGCTTAAGGGGAAAAAAACCCAACAAACCCAAACACTAGCTAGTTGCCACTAGCTTTGTCTCTTGACCTGGTGGAAAAACAGTCACTGGTGAGAGCAGGCTAGCCAGAGGAAAAATGTCCCTATATGTGTCCAATGTGAACATAAGGAAAGAGGGACCCTTGAAAGGACAGTGTTCACAAATGTTTGAAAGTGAGTGAAGTTTCAGAAATTATCTCAAATACTTGTGGTTTCTAAGCAGAAACATTATCTTTTTGTGTAAGAGTTATATACATGGAAATATCCATATTTAGGGAGGGCATAAGGTGGTTATGTTGTTAATTGAGAAGTTTCAGTTTTCATTTTAGAACCCTGTGAAGGTCATCTAGTTTTTTGGGGGTTTTTTTAAGTTATTTCACAAAGCAGACCAAATGCATTTTCAATATGCTTTCTCCTAGTTGCCTTGTGTTCAAGCAAAATAGTGTAGAGAGAAGAGAGTAATGTAATATCTAGGATTTCTTTAGAAATACATACTGTTTTGCTTAAGTAAAGACTTTTTTGATGTGGATTGGATGAAATACTAATGAATGTGGGCATCAATAAATACAAAAAAGGTAATTTCTGCAGCAACATGGAACTATTGAGAATATTATCTGATGAATGGTCTCTAAGACATAATGTAAAAAACAGAGAAAAAGAATGCTAGTTAAAAAGAATGTTTATGATCACTTTGAATAGAAGTAGACCAGAGAGAATGATTTGGTAAGATCTGGACTTTGGACAAAGTTTTAGTTGTATGGAAGTGATGAAAGTAATTTGCTGTGGAACTGTAAGCAACCAAGTAGAATAAGTGATCTCTTTCTG